TCAAGGTCAGGTGTTCGAAACCATCCTGAGCAAGAGCGAGACCCCGTCTCTACTATAAATAGAAAGAAATTAATTGGCCAACTAATATATATAGAAAAAATTAGCCAGGCATGGTGGCACATGCCTGTAGTCCCAGCTACGCGGGAGGCTGAGGCAGCAGGATTGCTTGAGCCCAGGAGTTTGAGGTTGCTGTGAGCTAGGCTGGCGCCACGGCACTCACTCTAGCCTGGGCAACAAAGCGAGACTCTGTCTCAAAATAAATAAATAAATAAATAAAAATTTAGTTAAAAAAAGTTTCCTTGAAAGTTGGAAGGCTAGAGTGGAAGATGAGTGTGGCAGGGGGGAGGAGAGTGAATCATCCAGAGGCGCCTCCCAGGACAGGTTCATCCTAGATAAAGAACCGGGCACGGCAACAGCCACCTGCCAGACAGTAAGATCGAAAGAGCAAGAACTGTGCCCACCGTGTTCATCACTGGCTTCCTGACATCCCAGAGGGCTTGAGACAAGGGCTCCTCCATACCCAAAGAGCAGCATTAAGATATTGAGGAAGAACGAGCCATCCAACTCTACTTGGCTCCTCAGTTTTGAAGAATAAGGAATTTATCAAAAAAAAAAAAAAATGTACTGGACTCCATTTGGTTCCTGAGTTCAGACTGGCTGAGAAACTGACAGTGAGACTGAGAGGTTAGTGATAAAGCCCTCGAGTGAAGATGCTGAGTGGACCCTGATCTCTATCAGTTTCCCAGCTGTTAGATGCCCGAGCCCACCGCTGGATGTGTAGAAGCCGACCTGGCGTCTGAGTTCACCTGCCGCACGCTGGAGTCCCCGCGACAGCGCTTCGGGAGCCTCTACCAAAGCATGACTTCATGAAGAGAGAGCTACTCTCCCCTGCTCTGCCACAGACAACCCAATACCCTTGACACCTTGTGCGCTGGAAACAGATGCTGCCAGAGAAACCACTAGACCCAGGTCCACCAGGCGGGGAAGAGGACCCACTCTAGGGAAGCAAAGGCCGCACGGTGGGGCGGCTCGGTGGCTCAGGGCACCGTGGCATTCACAGGGCCCCGCAGAACTGGGGCAGCCACCAGCAGGGACACTTCTGTGAGTGACCTTCTTCCCAAACACATGTGAAATAGCTCTCGGGGACTCCCAGAACTAATCAAGAGGGTATTTGTAGGAGCCTGAGCAGGTAGGGACCAGAATCAAGTAACTGGAACTATGGATTTTTTTTTAAACATTTTAAACCATGTTGGTCCTCATTTTCACTGGACTGCTAGATTTGAGATCAGACAACCTTGACCCCAATCTTCAGGTTTGTTGTCTTTTAAACTAGCATAATAATGTCTGCTCTGCTACTTCATAAGGCTGTTGCTTTGAGAATTACATGAAATGATATATGTGAGAAAGCTTTAAAATTAACAAGTACTATATTTATGTAATTTCTGATAGCAGTATTTTAAGAATACTTTATTATCTTCACTGTAACTTCCCTTCTATCATCCCTTTTTCTGAAGGCTGAATAATCTCTAAGCCCCTTTTTTGTGCCCTGTATAAAATACTGTGGTCTTTCAGGTCCTGTGTGAGCTGGAACATCTGCGTGGTGGTCTTCACCTCCCTGACACACCCTGACAGCTGTCCTGAGAGCAGGACCTGCTGCGATTCCCTGCCAGCTTGCCCAGGGCCCTGCCAAGTGGCCGCGGGCATCAGGCTAAATGCGGGGCCAGAGGAGACAGGCACCCAGGGGCTAGGAATCAGAAAGCGTGCTCAAGGCTTAGGATCCTGGTGGTTCAATTTATGGGCCCATAACCTGAAAATTAGAAAGTGGTAGTGAATCCTGAAAATGAGGGAGCCGAGAACCAGGAAGTCCGAGTCCTGTATCTGCCCCACCCCCCTCGCTGGGAGCTGCTCCCACGCCTTCCAGGAATGGTGCTGCAGGTTGGGCTGGTGCCTCCTGCTCCAAGTTCCAGCCAGCGAGAACAGAGCCAGCTTCTCCAACATGCTTCAGGTGGGCAGAGAACGAGCAAAAGGAGATGCCCATGCCCTTTATTCCGACATCTGCGGGGAAAGGCTTACTTCTAAGGAAAACTGGAAAATGCTCAGATTCAGAGTCATGAATTGACTCAGCCGCTTACTATCCGTGGGACTCTGGCTTTGACTTACTCCTCTGAAACAGGGCTATTGCCTACCATAAATATCTTGCAGGCATCAGGTACAATGACCAGTTGAGAGCTTTTTTAAAAGATAAAAATAAAAAAGATTTTGTAAATTTTGGAGCATATAAATGCAAAGGACATGTTTTCCTCTAGCCAGGCCCCTAATAAGGTAAGGCAGCTAAGACCGGTTGCTGGAATGCACCTTTGGGTTAGAGACACAGTTGAAGAAAAGTCTTGCTTGTTTCAGCATCAAAAGACCTTCCAGAAACACACTGGGAGTCCTAAGCTTTTACATTTGCTCAGAAGTTTTTTTGTTTTGTTTTGTTTTTTGACACAGAGTCTCGCTTTGTTGCCCAGGCTAGAGTGAGTGCCGTGACATCAGCCTAGCTCACAGCAACCTCAATCTCCTGGGCTCAAGAAATCCTTCTGCCTCAGCCTCCCAAGCAGCTGGGACTACAGGCATGTGCCACCATGCCGGCTAATTTTTTATATATATTTAGTTGGCCAATTAATTTCTTCTATTTATAGTAGGAGCGGGTCTCGCTCTTGCTCGGGCTGGTTTCGAACTCCTGACTTGAGCAATCCGCCGCTCGGCCTCCCAGAGTGCTAGGATTACAGGCGTGAGCCACCGTGCCTGGCCTGCTCATAAACTTTTAAATTAGAGTGAAGGAAAAATTATTTCAATTCCTGAAAAGAAAGATTATTCACAGACATTAAAAGGCAGCCCCAAAGAAAGGCAAACTCCAGTTTTCCACGTGCTGGGGGAGGGTGTGGGAGTGATGCAGTCTACGCAAAGCCAGTTGTGTGAGTAAACCGTGGCAACTGGAAACCGGATGAAAGAGCTGAGGACAGGATGCAAAGGGTCCAGCCTTCCAGCAGTCAAGCACAGGTGCAGACTGGGTCTGCTTGCTTCATTCATTCATTCATTCATGTTTGGAGTTCCTAAATCATGATTCCTTGAAAAACAGGCCACTGGAACTTTCAGGCAGAGGTTTTCAACCTCTTCAGGAGCCTAGAGGTCAGGATCCCTTGAGAAGGCGGAAATCAGACTGCATCTTTGACTTCCAAGCCCTAGGCAGAGTTAGGAATTTTCTCGGCTGGGCTAGGAGTTCCTGCAATTCTTTTCAGCATTTGTCACACTGCGCTGTCGCCATTTGTTAACCTGGCTGTATCCTTGCTGACCTGTGGCTCCCCCAGAGAATGAACAGGAACAGGTATGCAGTGCTTGGGCGCCTGAACCTTGGTGGCAGAAAGATCTGAGTTCACACCCTGATTAACCCCTTTAAGGGCTGTGTGATTTTGCTGGGAGGATGGAATTAGATACCATCTGTAAAATCTGTTGTAACCAATATGCAGCAGTGGCTGTTATTTTAATTTGTTCCTCTATAGATCAATAATAATGGCTGTACCCATCAGGATTCAGTGAAGGAAACAGAAATTGCTTTATTAAGCAATATTAAGTAGGAAGGGATTTAATCAAAGAATCAAGTGCTTGCAAAATGATTAGAAGGGCTGAAGTAGCAGGCTGGGGCTCCCAAAACAATATAGAAATGACCCACTAGAGGAGTTATGACCTCTGGGGCGCCCCTGGAGCTATTTCTGGAACCCAGAAGAAACTGTAGGGGTGAAGGAAATCCCTGGAGCTCGCTGAAAGATCAACTCACAATTAAGGCAGGTTAATAAGAGAAAGGTTCATTTACCATGCACATGGGGAGAATCACAGACTGATTACTCACTATCCCAGTGAAATTCATATATTTTTATTTTTTCTTTTATTTTTTTTCTTTTTTTACAGAAGAGTGTAAGCTAGAGAAATTCATATATTTTTATACCTGTCCTTTTGGAGGGGAGGGGAGATGAGGAGTATAGGTAATTCTGTTTGGGGTGACAAGTGGTACTAGGGAGGACAAATGAATAGGGGAGACAGATTGACCTGTAAATGATCCTCTATGCAAATTAAATTAACCTGAGAGACAGGTATTATATTTAAATGATTTGAGCCAGGTCTGGCTGCATTCTTGATCATCCTTCCTGCAATATATTGAGGTAACAGGGAGTGGAAGGGAAGTCAATTGCCCCTTTCACCTTTTGATTGGGTCAGTCCTGTTTAATGCAGATAGAGGGAAAGCCCCTTCCAGTGCTTTTTTTTTTTTTAATCTCGAATGGCCTTTCATTCAAAGTATTTTTTATACTAAGGAGTCATATTTTTGGGGTGAAATTTCCTGAGCTCCTTTACTGCTGTTGCCTCTGCTACAATTCCTGCTTCTTTAAAACCCAAAAGCTGCAGTGTGGACTCCAGAGCATGGCTGCAGGAAAACCTCGCGTTTCCGTTTCTGGGAGCGGAATCTGCCTTGCATGTAATGCTGAGTGCATCCACTTGGCGGAGGACAGTTTGCATCTGGAACCCTGACTGCAAAGGAGTCTGGGAAGTATCCCACTCAGCTTTCCAACTTCACCTACAAAGAGGCTGGAGCGGAGGCCCAGGGAGCCAGCCTGTTGCAGCAATGTGTACTGCTAGTGTTACAGCTCTTGACAGAAGAGTCTCGGGGAACAGCCTTTATTCTTCCACAGCAGGCTCAGCACACCCTAGTGTTACAGCTTTCTTCAAGTCTTGCAATCTTCTGACCCTTGCTGCTTTGTTCTCCTCCTGCTTTTATACTCTTGGTAGGGCTCAAAAAGCATCCAATCAACAACAAGCTTTAATATCCAATCAACATCAAGCTTTAATATCCAATCAACATCAAGCTTTAACATCCAATCAAAAACAGTGGGATTCAAAACTTACCCAATCAGGATCACGCAAGCAGGGGTTTCCGGCACTCCGCCCTTTGGGCTCTCTGCCGCTGGCCGGCCCCAGCAGCGTGCCCTCCAACTGGCCACGCGCAGCGCTGGCCGAGGAGATGTGGAGCGACTGGGACTCGGCCAGGGGCCACAGCCAGCCACCCAACATTTTCCTTATCAAGCCCTCACAATGGCGGGTATTTATTGAACATCGTGCCCCGGGTTTTTGGCTGCGTCCTTCATGCCAGGTGTGCCACACAGCAACCCAGGGAGGTGAGCACTTATTTCACTAATGAGCAGGCAGGGCCTTCAGGAAGTTACCTTGTCTGTCCTGGGTCACAGAGGAAGGGCGGAAGATGGGCTGAAGACAGGTGCTATCTTATTCCAAGCTCATGCTCGTAACCACGAGGGTGTCTGCCCCTCCCTGCATCTTGAATGCTAATGCACTGTGTGACCGCACCTACTCAGTGAAAGTTAGAGGAGTTAACTCATCACCAGTTTAAACAGAAAGTGAAACCTGCAATGCTGGGGCCTAAAGAAAGTGTCTTCCCCTTCTGCGTGCGACCCAAGGAGGGGGCAGGAGGTGGGTGTGAGGGGTGCGGAGGCAGGGTGGGGGCGAGGCAGAGCTGTGCGATGCAGCCCCAGGGAGCCGGGCCAGAGTGGAGGGGACGGGCCCAGGACAGACTTGGACATCTGCCACCTCGTCCCACTTCTAGAAGAGGATCAGACCGTGTTGTTACCGATGGCCTACTGAGAACCGATGGATTCACTCAAGGGATGTTTTCTTTTGTCCTTTTTAAAGCAGAGAATGTGAACTAAGACTTTTAGAGAAGCACCTACCTCGTGATCCGTGCACGCTGGTGCTTATGATAGTGGTCTCTCACGTGTGTTGACTCTGCAGATAACCAGACACGTGTCCCCTGCAGAGCTGCTGCATGCCACCCCACCCCACCCCGGCACGCAGTGACTCGCAGGCTCGCAGACCCCTGCCACAGCAAGTGCTCTCCCACTCTCGCCAGGACGCTGCCAGTCCTGGGAGGGCCTGGGACGCCTCGGTATCCTTGTATAGACGCTAAGGCATGAGAGGGGAGCCCAGAGTCTACACCCAGGGAGCTACAGTCAGCAGAGGAGCGAACACACACAGGCACCACCCACACACGTACACACCCACTGAGTCACAAACATACACACCGCACACAGACACAGAGAGACACTCACATGCACACACAGAGACACAAACATGCACACTGCACACACACCACCACGTACAGATACACATACACACACACATAAACACATGCACACAAACACATATGACACATATAGCACACACACCCCACCACACACACACACCGCCTGCACCACGTGCACATACCCCATGCCAAACACACAAAGACACTCACATACACCACACATGTGTACACAAACACAAACACACAGCGCACACTTGCGCACGCTCATGCATGTACTCTACCTCTTGAAAAGTGCCTGACTGGGGTATAACCCTATCCTGAAAGGCTTAAAATAGCGGTTATGTGGACTGTGAATGTAAGAGGTATGTCTACAACAGTGAGAGCATCGAAAATGGTATACGCACAAGGATAAACCACTATTGAAATGCATGCATGGTATTTACTGGGAGAGGAAAACAGGACAGGCAGCAACACAAATAATCGATGTTTAATAATCCTTGGATTATTCTCTGTGAATTTATTTAACTGAGAAGTTAATTTTTTCAAGTGACTGTTCTTTAGCCTCGTGCACTCGCTGCGCACTCGCTGCGTGGCCACTGGCTTCCGCCCACAGGGCAGCAGGCCAGGGCTCCAACTCACCGCCCTCCCCTCTGCCTCACCTGTGAGGGACAGCCTGCAGAGCCTGTGTGATGGGACAGTGCGCCACCCGCCCCTCTTGTCCCTTCCAAGCTCCCTCCCTGCTCGAGTCAGGAAAGTCCCGTAGTTCTTGCCCCACAGGACAAACAGGGAAGTTGAGGGCTTTGGTGCTGACCTCAGTGAGACACCAGCTTCCGGGAGCCCTGATTCCTTCCAGGGCTACAACAGTTAACCTCTGTGTGCCCAGGGGGCGCTCAGGAGCCCTGATGCCTTCCAAGGCTACAACAGTTAACCTCTGTGTGCCCAGGGGGCGCTCAGGCCAGGGCATTGCAATTGTTAACACTTTCCCTTTGGTATTTCTAAGATCCAGTAGGGGAGGGTTGGAAATTGAAAGGAAAGGACACCTGGCAGGTGAGAATGGGAGTTGGAGATTACTGGCCTAGAAGAAAATGGTGGGCTAATTGTAAATATACCTCCAAGACCCATTGTCTTACTAAACTTCAAAGCTAGAAGGGAACATACAGACCATCAGCTATAACCCCTTCCTTTCCTAGATGCAGAATCTGAGGTTAGAAGAGTGAAACGAAATGTTTACAGTCATAACTAATTAGAAGCAACTCTGTGATTGCAAGTGTAGAGTTCATCTCTCATGGAGCAATGATCACCATTTTCTACCTTCCCACAGGGTTGTTTCACTGATTCAATGCATGGACCAAGATATCATTCCGGATATGAGATTTTATTAGAGAAGCTAACAAATTAAACAAATTTTACTTAGGGCTTTCCATTTTATTAGGTGAGTATAGACTATTAAATAAAAGTCACAAGTCAGTTGTCCAAAATAACCATGTCTTGCTTTAAAAGAGTTCAAAATACAAAAATCCAAATTCAAAAATAATAAAGTATGATTGCTTCATTACAAAACATACATTATGTAGTAAGGTTTTTTTATTGTTGTTGTTTTTGTTTTTTAATAGGAAGTTCCTGCTATATATTACAACACTGAAGTTTTTTGGGGGGAACGGGTGTAACTCAAGAAAAATGATGAATTTATGTGTACTTTAGGCATCCTGATAATTCAGAGTGAGTGTTTTTGCTATGTTTATAAAACAGTAAGAAACGGGGGAGATATATGGATTAGTAATTAGAAAACAGATGTCTGTTCTACATTTGGCACTATTTCCAAAGTCTTACATGAATCTCTTAACTTTTGTGAGCCTTTGTGTCCTCCTCTAGAAAATAACAGGCTGGGATCAGATGAGCTCTATGGATGTGTCTTTGTTCGTTTTCTGTTGCTCATCACAGAACACCTGAAACTGGGTAACTTATAAAAAAAAATTCTTATAATTCTGGGGGCTGGGAAGGGCATGGTTTGGCATCCCCTTCTTACTGGTGGGGACTCTCTGCAAAGTCCCAAGGCAGCACAGAGAGTCTCATGGTGAGGGACTGAGTGTGCTAGCTCAGGTCCCTCTCTCTCCTTTTATAAAGCCATTAATGCTGCTCCCATGATAAACCATTAATCCATCAACCCATGAATCCATTAATCCATGAATGGATTAATCCATCCATGAGGCCAGAGCCCTCATTACCCGATCATCTCTTAAAGGCCACCCTCTCAATACCGCCATGTTGGAGATGAAGCTTCAACATGAGTTTGGGAGGGGACAAACATTCAAACCATAGCAGGGCCCTCCCAAGGTTGCAAAGCAGAGTGGGAGGGAAGAAATCTCATGACACGAAAGCCAAACCTACTTGAGCTGGTTCATCTCCACCTTCAGGCACTTTCCCAGGGCTGCAATTCTTCTCTTGAGTATGAATACGTGCTGTCTACCAGTCAGGGTAATTTGAATGTTAAACGAGCTAATGCGCACAAAGTGCCTAGACATTGCCTGCCCCATCGTATAGGTCATTTTAGTTTTCTCCCCACCTCCAACTTTGCCACGCTACCACTTGATAACCACATTAAGTTTGTAAAGAACTTGCAGCATTGGGGGGAGGATCAAGATGGTGGACAAGAAACATTGCCAGACAAAGTGTCTCTGCAAAAAAGACAGATTCTAGCAGAAATTAGAAAAAAGCAGCAAGAAGACGAGCCTACAGGGGACGAGGGCCGGAAGGAGGGGTACCTGAGACGCCGGGAGACTCCACGGGAGGTGGTTGCAGAGGAGAACTGGAAGCTGAGACCACCGGAGCAGCCCCGAGACCAGCAGGAAGGGTAGGTGGATGTGCCATTCCCCCTTCCCTGCATCTGGGACTGCTGGTGGGCTCCCCAGCGGGTGGAGAGACCTGCGGACACCAGCCCAGAGACGGCCGCCAGCACCTAGCTGTGAGCCTGTAGCAGACGTGGCACCAGGCCCCCAAATCCTTCGGGGCACCTCCGTGTGCACAGACCCGAGCCGCGAGGTAGGCGCCATATTGCCTCCTCCTCCCCTCCGCCGACCCTACCTACAGCTGCCCAGAGAGACAATACTGCCACCAGCCAGAGGCACCTACAGGGAACGGGACCTACCCTTTTGGGACCCTACAGCTGACTAAGGGGAACTCAGACTGTGAGCTCCCTCCCCGCCAGCCCTCCCAGGTGCTGCTGGCACGGTGTGATCCAGGAGAACCGGCAGATCCTGAGGCTGAGAACTAGACCAGCTTGGGCTCCCTGTGGGTGAATGGGACCAGAACTCCTCTTCCTGGTGGGATACAGTTTGAACTCTGGGACCCAGAGGTCGGACCTGCACGACCAGATCCCCTGCAGCTAGGGCATTGCCTGGGGCACAGAAGGATATATGTGAACAGCCTACTGAGGTGTGTGTGCCTTCAGGGGCAGATCAGCATCCTAGAGAGCAACCCTGCTCCAAAAAGGAGGCCGTACGCCCAGCCCAGGTGGCGTTCCTGCGCAGAGAACCTCCCCGCCAGCATCACAGTCCAGGGAGGCCTGGTGGCGTGTGGTCTGGCCTGCTAGCAGAGGCTCAGGAGTAGCTGCGGAGTTGGGGAGGGTGGAAAGAAGCCAGGCCCACTCCAGACTGCGGGTCTCAGACAGCCCCACCCCCACACGCAGACTCTCTGACTGAGCGGGGCCATTCCAGCCCCTCCCTGTCAGCTTTTCCTGGAAGCGGAGAACAGAACTTTGACCCCTCCTAACAGCATTGGCGGTGCCTGAGGGCAGGCTTACCCAACCTAGCTCCGCCCAAACTCACTCCTAGCCCAGCCCTCACTGAGTGGGAGAATAGGACACACCTGGAAGTCCAAGGGCCCCACCAACCACCTGAGGCACTAGAGTTCTCTCTACAGGAACAAGAGCTGATAATAGGACACAAAAACAACAGCGTAGCCTGTTCCTCAAGCAAGCCACCTAACTGACAGGGAGGGCATCCTGCACAGCCTTTTCACGGCACCTACTGACTCATTATACAAGGAGTGGTCTAATCTCACCCACAGATACCACCTACCAGCTCAGAAACTAAACAAGGCGTGTGAAATACCAACAAAAACCTAAAGAAAGAAACAACAACTGATCGACATGGGAAGAAATCAGCGAAGGAACTCAGGAAATATGAAGAACCAAACGGAAAACACACCCCCAAAGAGGAGTACCAGCCCCTAGAAACGACCCAACCCAAATCAGGCAACCAAAATGACAGAAGAGGAATTTCGTATGTGGATCATAAGAACACTTACCAAACTGCAAGAACAACTCAATAACCAACACAAAGAAACCACAAAGCCTCCGGACTAGAAAAAAGTTCACTAAGAAATAGACACAAATGAAGAAAAGTGTAACCGAACTCCTGGAAATGAAGAATCAATTCAGGGAACTACAAACATAGTGGAAAGTCTCAAGAACAGGGAGAAGAACAGAAGAAAGAATCTCAGAGATTGAAGATAACACCTTCCGACTAAATAAAACTGTCACAGAGATAGAGGAGAGAAACAAGAGAAAAGAGTAAAGCCTACAAAGATGTGGGATTATGTGAAGAAACCTAATGTGAGTCATAGGTTACCAGAAGGCGAGAAGACAACACTCACGGGTTGGGCAAGCTATTTGAAGATATAACAGAGGAAATTTCCCAGGCCTTGATCAAAATCTGATATACAAGTTCAAGAAGCTCAGAGGACCCCTGGGAGATTCAATCCAAACAGGAAGACGTCACGACATGCAGTCATCAGACTGACCAAAATATCAACTAAAGAGGCCTTTCTAAGAGCTGTAAGACAAACAAAGCAAGTAACATACGAGGGAAAGCTAATTTGAATAACACTAGACTTCTCTAATGAGACTTTTACAAGCAAGGAGAGACGGGGCCCCATTCTCACTCTTCTGAAACAAAAAATGCCCAGCCTAGAATCTTATTCCCTGCAAAACTAAGCTTCATATATGAAGGAAAAATAAAGACATTTCCAGACAAGCAAAGGCTCAGAGAATTCACCAAGACAAGACCAGCCCTACAAGAAGTACTCAAAACAGTGTTACGCACGTAACACCATAATAAAAACTACGCAATATAAAAACAACCAAACCCAAAGATTAAAGGCCAGATAATAAATGGCTCAAGAGAGAAATCAAAGCAACAACATCCAACCCAACAGAATGAACAATATCTACCTTACCTATCAGTTCTCTCAATAAATGTGAATGTTAAACTGTCCATCCAAGAGACATAGGCTGGCTGAATGGATAAGAAATACAGGCCAAGTATCATGCTGTCTTAAGGAAACACATCTAACCTGCAAGTGCATATAGACTAAAAGTAAAAGTGTGGAATCAGTATTCCGCAAGTGGAAGCCAAAAGAAGGCTGGCATGGCAGTTCTAATTTCAGACGATTTAGTTTTTAAACCAACAAAAGTAGTGAAAGACAAGAGGGTCATTATATAATGGTGAAGGCACACTTCAACAAGAAGAGATAACAATTTTAATATATATGCACCCAACTTAGGTGCACCCAGTTTCATAAAGCAACCTTACTGGATCTAAGCAAATGGATTAATAGCAACTCCATATCACCGGAGATTTCAATACCCCACTGACGGCACAAGACAGATCCTCCAAACAGAAAATTATAAAGAAATAATGGACTTAAACATAAACCTTGGAACAACTGGGTCTGACTGACATCTACAGGACATTTACCAAAATCCACTGAATATACGTTCTTCTCATCAGCTCATGGCACTTCTCTAAGATTGACCATATCCTAGGACACAAAGTAAATCTCTCAGAAATTTAAAAATAGAAATCATACATGTACCTTCTCAGATCAGTGATTAAAAGCAGAAATCAACCCTAACAAAACTCACATTTCTAACACAAAAACCAGGTGGAATTAAACATGCCTACTAATGATTACTCATAATGAAGAAAAATCAAGATGGAAATAAAAAATCTCATACTCAACTGCTGTGGGACTGCCAAGATTAGTTCACCTCGTCGGAAAGCGAATATGGAGGATATCTTAAAGCGATACAAGACATCTACCATTTGAGTCCAGCATCCATTGCTGGGCATCTACCTGCAAAAGATCCAATGACACGTCTACAAAAGATCACCTGCACTTGAATGTTTATGAGCACAATTCATAATTGCAAGGCTGTGGAAAACAGCCAAGTGCCATCATCCAAGAGATGGATTAATAAAATGTGGTATATGTATACCATGGATACTATTGAGCTTCTAAGAAATAATGGTGATATAGGCAATCTATATTTTCCTGCGTTAGAGCTGGAAACCCATACGTACTAAGTGAAGTTTCCAAGAAATGGAAAACAAGCCCACATATACTCAAAGCAGAATTGGTATTATAACTGAACAGCACCTAAGTGGTCACAATAGGTACGTACGTAATCAGGGGTATTGGCGGCAGGGGGGAGGGGGCTGGGTTAGTATACATTATAATGGTGAGATGTGCCATCTGGGGGAAGTGGGTCATGGCTTGGCAGCACTCAGAGGTTGGGGGAGGAGGGGGGAAGTGGATTTATTGACACTTAAAACATCTGTACCCCCCAAATATGCTGAAATAAAAAATAAAGAAAAAAAATTTAATTTTAATTTAAAAAAAAGAATGCAACCAGACCTGGCCCAAATCATTTTAAATATAATGCCTGTTTCTCAGGTTAATTTAATTTGTTAAGAGAATCATTTGCAAGTCAATCTGTCTGCCCCATCCATTTGTCCTCCCTAGCAACTATTCATTGCCCCTAAACAGAATTACCTATACTGCTTGCTCATCTCCCCCTTCCCTCTCAAAAACAGGTATAAAAATATCTGGATCCCATTGGGATATGAGTACTCACTCTGTGATTACCATGTTCACAGTAAGTAAGCCTTTCACTTATCAATCTGCCTTAATTGTGAGTTGATCTTTCAGCCTTGGGGGTGGGGGTGTAGTTTTCCCTCTCCCCAACATAATCAAATGAGCAGGTGAGCAGGAAAGAGCTCCTTAAAAGGGAGGTGTGGGTTTAACTCCAATCAGTCTATCTCCTGCTGACAGCTGCCCACAGAGCTTGAAGAGTGCTTGAGCCCTGGAGAGAGAAGTGAGCAGAGAGTGGAAGAACATACATTGTTTCTTCTGAATGTGGCTCACACCATTATCCTCCTTTTTCTCTTCATGTTTCCCTCCTTAATGGAATAGCAACACGAAGGCTTCTCAGCTGAATAAGTAGTTTTCCTCTTCCAATCCTTAGAATCAGGTTGATGACCACAGGTGGCTATGCAGGAAATATTTTCCAAAATAGTTTTCTGTCACTCTGCTGTGTTTGGGTCAAGCCTCAGGCTTCCTGACAATACAGCTTTGTTCTCGTTTCCTCCTGTTACCTGAGGCAGCCCTGCGTGATTGTGCTGAGCAGACAGGAGTGCCCCACTCTCAGACTCCCAGAGGTCCCTTGTCATTATGCAGGAGACAATAGCCCAAGCTGGTGGGGGGCGGGAATATATTCAAGGGGGCTGTGTTTAATTTCACTGCTTCCGTGAATAGTCTTCACGATGAATAGCTTCAAGATTCCTGTGATTTTTCTTTTCTTTTTTCTTTAAATAGCATATCAGGGTCCCCCAACTCAGTCTAAATAGTCCTCATTTCAGTGATTGAGACCTGTCTGGGTGTGTGTGACAGAAAGCTGGGGCAGAGTCACTTTGGCGGGGGATGTTGGTGGTGGGAGTGTAGACCCTGTAGACCCCGGAGAAGAGTGGCTTGGGTACCCCAGACATCAGCAGACCCCTCCCTCGGTTCCAGGGACAGAGAAGCTCCTGACGGCCAGCGTTCAGAAGCCGGAGGAGATGTGCACAGCACGCTGTGACGCCCGGTGACAAAGGGTAACTGACAGTGGGAAGGAGCAGCGATCACTCTGCTTCTGGATGGCATTAGTCACAGCATTAGGGACATACTGAGCTCCTCTGAGACTGTAACAGCTCATTGGTCTAGCTTTGGGTAGACCAACATGACATGGGGGCAGCAGCCCTGGCAGATGTCCACACTGTCGTGGAGGATGCTGCCAGCAGTGGTCTTGAGGAGCCTTCAGGTGGCTTCCCAGGCAGTGAAAGCCAATTGGGGGTGGGGGGGTGCTGAAGAGGAAGCACACGACAGATGCCACGGGGGACCATGTGAGCACATCAAGGGATCCCTGGGGTTCCAGGAAATAAACTGGGGGAGAGACGTCCTAGAGGGGGTGGAGGGGGCAGGAGCCCCTGAAACAGCGATCACCATTGTTTACGTGACCCTACCAGGGTCACGTGACCCTCTGCCAGGTGCAGCGTAGCGAAAGCACACGTTACGGTAGGATTATGAAAGGTCCGTGCTGGGAAGGATCTTAGAGATGATCTAGTCAAACATCCCTCCTGGTGTGGGTGGTGACAACAAGGCCCTGTGTCTCACGGCCAGGTGACCACACAGCCAGGGCAGGACCTCATTCTCCTGAGTTCCAGCGCCTGACACTCGATGGACTCGTGACACTCGTGACGTGTTTGTAGGGCACTGAGGGCTTCTCCTGTTTACAGGTAGAAAGTGTCTTCCTGGCGCACGTTACTTTGAGGAAAGTCAAATGGAGCTCGCGGTGGGATCTGTCCAGGCGCGCACCTTCGGGAAGGCGCTGCTGGGTGGAGCTCTGCTGGCATTTACTGCAAGAAGGTGCAGCTTCAGCTCTGGCTTGGTAAGAACAGAAAAAGGGCAGCCTGTTAGAAACAGAACGCCAGCTGGATCCCGACCACTCGGTCTGCTCACCGAGCTCTGCCCGTACCTTCATAGACAGAGGCGTGTCCATATGGAACACTCGGGCAGCCCACCAAGTCTGTCGGGAAGTAGGGTGATAAGAAAAACATAATTTTTTTTTTTGTATCAGTGAGGTTTGCTTTTAATCAAAATTCTCTTCCCTGCTATTTCAGCTCATTTACTCTTGATTTGCCCTGAGCAAATCTGAAGTGATGTGTTATTGTTTTATATTTCTTCATGCAATCTGGTCATCCCACCTAAGATGATCCATTGGCTCATAGGAAGCTGGAACCAAGGTAGTCTCTTGTCATAGAATGTTCCAGAAACTCAGGAGAGGATGCAGCCTTCTAAACTTCAGGTATTCATTTTCAGATATTCACCTTTATTACAGCACTAATAAAGCCTACTAACTTCGTCCTGCCCTGGATCACGCAGGAGGTGTCTTCTGACTTAGCGAAGATACATATTACTTTGCTGCGTAATATGAAACTTCACTTTAAAAATGCACACACACCTTTAGCTCTACAAATACACATACAATACATTAAAAAATACACACTTAATAAAAGTACGGCCCTTTGCTTTGGAAGATCAGTGTATGGATGGGGAAATTTTGATGTAGAAGAAATGAATGGTCGTCTGAGCCCATTTCAGGTTTATGCAGACACCAGGCCTTGCTGCAGCATTCTCATGAACCGGCCCAACACTCTCAGATGACACCTTTCACATTCTCTTTTTTCCTTCTCACTCCCTGCTTCCTTCCCTGCTTCCTTGTATCCCACCACATCCCTTCTCAGTGTGGCTTCACAGGTAGCCATGACAATAGACTGAGAGCTTGTTTTCCACTGTTTCTGTGACTCTGTCCGCCATGGCCCCACATGGGGGCCTGCATCTATCTGCACAGCCAGAGCAGTCTGCAGTAAGCAAGACTGACTGACCATATGGGAGACAGACTCTTTGGAACCGGGATTTAGTTCTGCAGTGAGCTGGGAGGGATTAAGGAGGGGGGAAGCCTTTATGAGGGTTCTGGTCAAGCTCCATCCCCTACCCAAGACACTCTGGGATCTGCTCAAAGACAAAGTATTCTCTTGGGGCCTGTGTATACATTTGCACTGCTGGACTCCTGCTCAATCTCCCTATTAAAAGAGTCAATATTAATAATGTCTGATTCTTCCCCCGAAACCCCCATGAGAAACTTTGCTATTGTAGAAGTACCAGATACCCATAGCTGGAACACATAGGATGAGATCAAAGCCAGCAAGATGAAATGCAACAGAGTTTGGGAAAATGTCCAGAGACTAGAAAATGTCTGTGATAAAGCCATCATCGAAGGATTAAGCTTCAAGTGTTGCAATGAAGGCAGATGAGACTTTATCTGCCTCTGGTCCTACAGTGACCTGTGTGAGTTTCCCAAGCACTCGTGTCCCTCTAAAGCGAGGCATTGTCCCCAGCAGGGCCTAACACAGTCATGTCACTAATCCAGTTCCACAAGTTCCACAAGACTGAAGTGACCCAATGACATGCCCTGTGGCATTTGCTACTCTGTGCTAACCCAAAGACATAGCTAGAGGCTTGGGAGAGAGACAGATCTGTGGATCTTTTACCTCTGACCTCCCTCCCTGACCCCGAAGAACTGAGGATTCATCCTGTACACTGTTGTTTTGATCAGAAATGTGACAACCAGTAACAGGCAGGTAAAATAATTTTCTGGAGGAAAAAGTCTCCAACTGTTAGGGGAAGAAGTTTTCAACTCCCAGAATATGGGATCTACAAGATAGGGAAGAGGCATTGAGCAATGTAGAAGCTTCCAGGATTGATAAAGCGAAGGTTGAAAACAAAGGGTAAGGCAAGCATTGTGAAGAGACAGTCCAGCCAGTGAGAGGGGAAAGCTGGGGCACTTGAGAAAACTCTACTCTTACTTTGGGAAATAAATGGCTACTTCATTATCTGTGTTTTATCTCACTTCTAGATTCAGGGTGAAGAGATTAGGAATTTACGTTATCATTAATATCTAAGTGTCTGGAGAAATGCCTGGAACATAGTAGGTAGTCAATAAATGTTTGTTAAAATGGTTAGAATCAAAAAAGCAAATAAGACTAAAGGAACAATCAGTCTGAAAATCAAAACTGTCTATAGGAACTCGGACTGCTGATCCCCCAAATTTCTCTTACTTCCCTCCTGAGTGAGTCTGACACTTGTGCAGGTTCTAAAGCAATGCAGTCTCATAAACTAGCTTCTAGCCAAATGTAGATACTTGAATTTCAATTAATTAAAATGAAATAAAACTTAAAATTCTCTTCCTCAGTCACACTAGCCACATTTCAAGTGCTCGACGACCACATGTGGCTAGCGGCTACCATATTGGACGCCACCAACTATAGAACATTCCCGTCCCTGCACAAAGTTCTACTGGACAGCACTGGGTTACAGTGTTTAACAGTGGCTTAAAATCTAATTCAACCTTCTAAATGTCTAAAAATATGATATTTTGGATTTCAGAGCACAGGAAGAGAATGGGGAACTAACTTTCAGGGCATTCTGATAGGCTTCTGCTAATGCTCGACTCTTTCCTACCAGGAGGGGGAGGGGGAAGATCAACCAGCCTAGGACAAGGCTGACAAACTTTTTCTGTAAAGGCTTGGATAGTAAATATTTTAGTCTTTACAGGCTAAGAAGTAAAATCAAAGAGATTATGTAGGCCGGGCGTGGTGGCTCACGCCTGTAATCACAGCTCTCTGGGAGGCCGAGGCGGGCGGATTGCTCAAGGTCAGGGGTTCAAAACCAGCCTGAGCAAGAGCGAGACCCCGTCTCTACTATAAACAGAAAGAAATTAATTGGCCAACTAATATATATAGAAAAAATTAGCCAGGCATGGTGGTGCATGCCTGTAGTCCCAGCTACTTGGGAGGCTGAGCGCAGCAGATCGCTTGAGCCAGGAGTTTGAGGTTGCTGTGAGCTAGGCTGACGCCATGGCACTCACTCTAGCCTGGGTAACAAAGTGAGACTCTGTCTCAAAAAAAAAAGAAAAAAAAAAGAGATTATGTAAGTACTTATATAGCAAGGGAGAAAACAGATTTCCACAAACTTTTTATTGACATTCAAAATTTTATGGACACTGAAATTCGAATTCATATAATTTTCACATCATGAAATAGTATACTTCTTTTGATTATTTTCAACCATTTGAAAGTGTACAAACCATGCTTAGCTCATGGGCTGTACGATAACTGGCGGTGGGCCCGACTGGGCCAATAGGTGACAGCTCACCATTCGAGTGCCAGGCCAAGCAGAAGAAATCCATCCAGTATGACTGGCTGGCTTCTCTCAGGAGCCACTTTTCAGAAGCCATAAAAAAATAGGATGGGCTGCTTGTGCAGGGTATGTTGAAAGTCTCCCTCAAGAAGCAGGAATGATGTCCGAGTCACCCTCTTAGATTCTGGAACTATCACTCAAGGTGGAGATGATTCTACTTTCTCCATCCAAAGAAAGTTCTTTTAGGAGGGAAGAAACTACCAAGACATAAAGAAGCAGCAAAAGAATTGTCCTCTGAGCCCTACAGCCTCAGTCAAACATGCTTCTGGGGCCAGGGAGCTTCTCAGAGAATTCTTAGAGATAAGAACAGCAGGAAAAGGCCACAGGCCCCGTGAGCCATGACACCAGGGGCGTGAGTCTTCCCCCTGTCCAAGGAAGTCAGAGGAAGGTGAGGGATTCAGGAAAGAAAGAATGCAGAACTTTGAACCATATCTACCCGGGGGCAGGGCGGGAAAGAGTGATATAAAAATGTGAGGGAGCTTGCAGGCAGAGGAAAGAATGGAGGAGCCCTGTTTAATGTAAAGAGCATTCACCAGGAAATGCGCCACCACTGTTTTCTTTGTCTTGAGCTTAGACATGGTTTGCATGATTTTGGTACCATATTTCCCCATATATAAAATAGTTAAAATGATATTTTTCTTCTCTTAGTTGCAAGAGGGACAAAAAGAGTGAACCTTCTTTAGAAGGTTAAGAAATCTCTCATATTTTAGTTTGTAACTCAGTTTTTTCCATTTTCCCCACTCTTGCTCTCCCATGAAGTCTTTTTTATCTTCCAACCAAAATGGAGTTGCAGCTGCCTGTTGTGAGTTCTTAGGGCACCTGCGTGTGCTTTTATAATATATGCTGGACTGGGTATGTCTGCCTTTCCCGCAAAAGGCGTCTCATTCCTCTCCATGGCCGCAGGACCTGGCTCAGCTCCTGGCATTTAGTAAGCAGTGAAATGTTTGCTAAAGGAATGAGCAATCCCTGGACACTCCATCAATGACCTCACCATAGCGCATCACTAAAGCGTTGCACTAGATTAATACTTTGGGAAAACAACAGAGTGAGTGGTGAGGATTGTGTC